TTTGTATTATTGACGTCGTTGCTAATCATGTAATATTACATGTTATAATATTCTTGAGAGGGGAGGCATGTCACATACGACTTATTTACTACTTCTGTGTCACTGAGGATGTTCTAGAACCGTACTGTGTCTGGGTGGAATATTCTATATTTTTTAGAAACTGGTTGAATAGGTAATAGAACACTGTAGGAGGCAATGGAAGGTAATGGAACATTCTAGAAATTTGTAGTAAGTTCAAGACTCATTATGTATGCTGATGTAATGGTCTATTTATAGACGGTGCGGGTATATATAGGGGAGTTGTTCAGCACTGAGATCAGATCGGAGATCTCGTTGAATTGTATTGGAGTTTAAGTATCTAGTTATTGGAGTAGTGGAGTTTTACCGCATTATTGTACTTGATGTTTGCAGAGTATAATAGTACCAGTACCAGTTGAAACCTCATATGTTGGCTCCGTGTTCGTATTTTATCATCGCCGCCAGGGAAGTCTTTCTGTTACTGTTGCCATTTTGGTATTTGAACTATCACACCTGTACTATACCAATTACGGTAATATTACGTTGTGTGTGACACTTTCACATAGCACAATGTCCTCATTCAGCTGGTTGGTGGTGTTGGAGTGTAACCTTTCACAAAGCACGACTTCATTCAGCTGGTGTTGGTGTGTGAGTCCAACAGTTCGCATAGCACAATGTCCTCATTCAGCTGGTTGGGGGGTGTTGGAGTGCAACCTTTCGCATAGCACAATGTCCTCAATCAGCTGGTGGGGTGTGTGTGAGTGCAACCTTTCACATAGCACAATGTTCTTATTTAGCTGGTGGGGTGTGCGAGTGCAATATTTTGTATAGCACAATGTCTACATTCAGCTAGTTGGGGGTGTGTGAGTGCATCCTTTCACATAGCACAATGTCCTCATTCAGCTCCAGGGGTGTGCGATTGCAACCATTCACATAGCAAATTGTCCTCATTTAGCTGGTGGAGTGTGCAAGTGCAATCTTTCGCATAGCACAATGTCTTCATTCAGCTGGTTGGTGGTGTTGGAGTGCAACCTTTTGCATAGAACAATGTCCTCATTCAGCTGGTTGGTGGTGTTGGAGTGTAATCTTTCTCATAGCACAATGTTCTCATTCAGCTGGATGGGGTGTATGAGTACAACCTACCACATAGCAAAATGTCCTCATTTAGCTGTTAGAGTGTGCAAGTGCAATCTTTCGCATAATGTCTTCATTCAGCTGGTTGGTGGTGTTGAGTGTAAGCTTTTTCATAGCGCAATTTCCTCGTTCAGCTAGTTGGGTATGCAAGTGCAACCTTTCACATAGTACAATGTCCTCATTCAGATGGTGTGGGTGTGTGAGTGCAATCGTTTGCATAGCACAATGTCATCATTCAGCTGGTGGGATGTGCAAGTGCAATCTTTTGCATAGCACAATGTCCTCGTTCAGCTCGTTAGGTATGCAAGTGCAACCTTTCACATAGCACAATGTCCTCATTCAGCTGGTGGGATGTGCAAGTGCAATCTTTCGCATAGCACAATGTCCTCGTTCAGCTTGTTAGGTATGTGAGTGCAACCTTTCACATAGCACAATGTCCTCATTCAGCTGGTGGGGTGTGCAAGTGCAATCTTTCACAAAGCACAATGACTTCATTCAGCAGATGTCGGTGTGTGAGTGCAACAGTTCGCATAGCACAACAGCCTCATTCAGACAGTTCGGGAGTGGAGTGCAACCTTTTGCATAGCGCAATGTCCTCATTCAGATGGTGTGGGTGTGGGTGTGTGAGTGCAACCGTTTGCATAGCACAATGTCCTCATTCAGCTGGTGGGGTGTGCAAGTGCAATCTTTCGCATAGCACAATGTCCTCGTTCAGCTTGTTAGGTATGTGAGTGCAACCTTTCACATAGCACAATGTCCTCATTCAGCAGGTGGGATATGCAAGTGCAACCTTTCACATAGCACAATGTCCTCATCAGCTGGTGGGGTGTGCAAGTGCAATCTTTCACAAAGCACAATGACTTCATTCAGCGGATGTCGGTGTGTGAGTGCAACAGTTCGCATAGCACAACAGCCTCATTCAGACAGTTCGGGAGTGGAGTGCAACCTTTTGCATAGCGCAATGTCCTCGTTCAGTTGGTGTGGGTGTGTGAGTGCAACCGTTTGCATAGCACAATGTCCTCGTTCAGCTGGTGGGGTGTGTTGGAGTGCAACCTTTCACATAGCACAAAGTTCTCATTCAGCTAGTTGGATATGTGAGTGCAAACTTTCACATAGCACAATGTCCTAATTCAGTTGGTGTGGGTGCGCAAGTGCAATCTTTCGCATAGCACAATGTCTTCATTCAGCTGGTTGGTGGTGTTGGAGTGCAACCTTTTGCATAGAACAATGTCCTCATGCAGCTGGTTGGTGGTGTTGAGTGTAATCTTTTTCATAGCGCAATTTCCTCGTTCAGCTAGTTGGGTATGCGAATGCAATCTTTCACATAGCACAATGTTCTAATTCAGTTGGTGTTGGTGTGGGTGTATGAGTGAGTGCAATCGTTTGCATAGCACAATGTCATCATTCAGCTGGTGGGATGTGCAAGTGCAATCTTTTGCATAGCACAATGTCCTCGTTCAGCTTGTTAGGTATGTGAGTGCAACCTTTCACATAGCACAATGTCCTCATTCAGCTGGTGGGATGTGCAAGTGCAATCTTTCGCATAGCACAATGTCCTCGTTCAGCTTGTTAGGTATGCGAGTGCAACCTTTCACATAGCACAATGTCCTCATTCAGCTGGTGGGAAGTGCAAGTGCAATCTTTTGCATAGCACAATGTCTTCATTCAGCTGGTTGGGGGGTGTTGGAGTGCAACCTTTCCCATAGAACAATGTCCTCATTCAGCTAGTTGGGTATGTGAGTGCAAACTTTCACATAGAACAATGTCTTCATTCAGCTGGCTGGGATGTTGGAGTGTAACCTTTCACATAGAACAATGTCTTCATTCAGCTGGCTGGGATGTTGGAGTGCAACCTTTCACATAGCACAATGTCCTCATTCAGCTTGTTGGGTGTGTGAGTGCAACTTTTCACATAGCACAATGTCCTCATTCAGCTGGTGGAGTGTGCAAGTGCAATCTTTTGCATAGCACAATGTTGTCTTCATTCAGCTGGTTGGGGGGTGTTGGAGTGCAACCTTTCACAAAGAACAATGTCCTCATTCAGCTAGTTGGGTATGTGAGTGCAAACTTTCACATAGCACAATGTCGTAATTCAGTTGGTGTGGGTGTGGGTGTGCGAGTGCAATCGTTTGCATAGCACAATGTCCTCATTCAGCTGGTGGGATGTGCAAGGGGCAATATTTCGCATAGCACAATGTCCTCGTTCAGCTTGTTAGGTATGTGAGTGCAACCTTTCACATAGCACAATGTTCTCATTCAGCTGGTGGGATGTGCAAGTGCATTCTTTCGCATAGCACAATGTCCTCGTTCAGCTTGTTAGGTACGTGAGTGCAACCTTTCACATAGCACAATGTCCTCATTCAGCTGGTGGGATGTGCAAGTGCAATCTTTCGCATAGCACAATGTCCTCGTTCAGCTTGTTGGGTATGTGAGTGCAACCTTTCACATAGCACAATGTCCTCATCAGCTGGTGGGGTGTGCAAGTGCAACCTTTCACAAAGCACAATGACTTCATTCAGCGGATGTCGGTGTGTGAGTGCAACAGTTCGCATAGCACAACAGCCTCATTCAGACGGTTCGGGAGTGGAGTGCAACCTTTTGCATAGCACAATGTCCTCGTTCAGTTGGTGTGGGTGTGTGAGTGAAATCTTTCGCATAGCACAATGTCCTCGTTCAGCTGGTTGGGTATGTGAGTGCAACCTTTCACATAGCACAATGTCCTCATTCAGCTGGTTGGGGGTGTGTGAGTGCAACCTTTCACATAGCACAATGTCCTCGTTCAGCTGGTGGGGTGTGTTGGAGTGCAACCTTTTACATAGCACAATGTCTTCATTCAGTTGGTTGGGATGTTGGAGTGCAACCTTTCACATAGAACAATGTCCTCATTCAGCTGGTTGGGGGTGTTGGAGTGCAAACTTTCACATAGCACAATGTCCTCATTCAGTTGGTTGGGGGTGTTGGAGTGCAACATCTTGCATAGCACAATGTCCTCATTCAACTGGTGGGGTGTGTTGGAGTGCAACCTTTCACAAAGCACAATGACTTCATTCAGCTGGTGTTGGTGTGTGAGTGCAACAGTTCGCATAGCACAACAGCCTCATTCAGCCGGTTGGGGAGTGGAGTGCAACCTTTTGCATAGCACAATGTCCCAATCTAGTATTAATGCTTTTCAATAATCTGCACTCTTACTAGTTAGTCAGGTAGTAACAACAACAAATACAATAAACACTCAAAAAAAAGTTTCAAAAAGGTTTGTTTTATTATGAAAACTACAGACGATGATAAATTTATTGAGCAAAAATATAGTGAATTCACCAAGAAAACAAAAACCTCATAAAAGATATCACATTATTTTGAAATGACCACCAGTCAGCCATCTTGAATTGAATTACAAAGAAAATGCACATGTATATATTAGACATGATGTACGGCATACAAGGCTCCGAGTGAGCTACCAATTTCAAAAGCTGATAGCCTGACAATAACATTGAGTAGTCCATCAGTGGTTTGGTACTTGAAGTATGCAGACAATTTTGTATACATGGAAACAACAAACTCATTTTGTGTAGGTGTGTAGGACAACCCATACTTAGTTATCTCAGTGGTGAGACATTATTAATTATCTGAAAATTTCTAGTTGGACTACTAATTTTGTAAATTGGTAGTCATTTTGCATTGGGCTAGTGCTAATTTAAAGTTGGGACGCTGTGTGGAGTTTGTATGTGATCAGTCAAGACAACATTCATTAAACCAAAATGGCTGAAGGTAGGCTATTTTGAAACTAATCTGAAAAACTAAAAGATGTGCATCAAGACTGCATTATGTTCAATGTATGTACCAAGTTTAGGCACAACGAAGAACTGGTTCTGGAAAAACAGAGATGTTTTACTTGAATGTTTTGACAATTATTTTGTAGGTACCCCGGTAATAAAATATCCACATTCAGGCATCTTGAATTAATCATGAAATAAACGTTTTCACATTTCAAGACATGATGTATTTGTAAAGACATGTCTGAGACACAGGTTTGGATGAATCAGCGAGTCCTGATAAAGGGACTCAATAATGTCTGTTGATTATTATTGTTATACAGGGTAATTCTGCATGACATCTTGACGTGCCAATTCCAACAACATGGGATCATCAAAGAATTTGTTGATACTGACATCCTCACTTAGACCCTGAAAAAAACAAAACATGTACAAATCAGAAACTACAGCTTCTATTGAGTGTAGACATGAGCTTAATGCGCAACAATGTAAAAAAGGTGAAAACAGTTTATTAGCACCTGATTAATTTTTGTTATTTATAAATAAATAATTACGAATATTTGGAAATACCTGGATTGACATGAAAAAAAAAAAAAAATAACATTGCAGATATCATTTTGCATCAAGTGTGTGGATGCACCTGAAATTAATCACTTACAATGAAATTTGTTGAATTCTTATAATAAATCAGTGAACTGATTTTGTGTGCGTTTATATTATCATGACATCATCATAATAATAATAAACTACAAAAAATCAATTTGTTGATTTGTGGTAATCAGCATGTGTAATGCAAACAATTAAGTAATCTGCGTGTGTGTAACAACATAATCTGACATAATAACTGACAGTAGTTCAACTCTGGATTATGTTTATGTTTGTTTTCACAACTTCACATATTATTTTTAAATTCTTGTCTAATTTTCACATGTTATTACCAATAATTTTATTTACTATTTTAGAACCAACTGACAGGCTTTCACTTTCATCTAAATTAGGGATGAACTTTAACCTTTAACCTTTTGATGCCAGTCAACATCCACAAAATAAATCAAACAAGCAGCCTATCGGCTGAGATAGCTCCGCTGTTAGCAATGCACATTTCAATTAAAGAACTGAAGACATCATTAGAAAATGAACAATATGAATAGTATCAAAGCAATCGGACTTACAGTTTTTAACAAGAAGTCGAAAATATCACTTTTTACCAAAAATTACAAAAATATTCACCAAAATAAATAGAGAATTGAAGATATCATCACAAAATGAACAAATCTGAGAAAGGTCTACATGTAGTATCTATATATGTAATATCAAAGCAATTGAACTATTGGTTTTTAACAAGTCGAAAATATCACTTTTTACCAAAAATTACAAAAATATTTACCAAAATTAGAGAATTGAAAATATCATCACAAAATGAACAAATCTGAGAGAGGTCCACATGTAGTACCTATACATGTAATATCAAAGCAATCGGACTTGCCGTTTTTAACAAGAAGTCGAAATTATCACTTTTTACCAAAAATGACAAATTAAAATATTCACCAAAATTAGAGAATTGAAGATATCATCACGAAATGAACAAATCTGAGACAGGTCCACATGTAGTACCTATATATGTCGCATCAAATCAATTGAACAAACCTAAGAGAGGTCTACCCAAGGTACATATACAAGTATCAAAGCATTCAGGCTTGTAGTTTTCAAGAAGAAGTCGAAAAAGTAAAACATTGACACGGACGACGACGACGGACAATCACTCATATGATAAGCTCCGCTCGACAAAGTCGACAGCGGAGCTAAAAATGTGATAAAAATAATCAATATTTATTTGGTCTAAAATTAAGGATGAATAGTTACATAATCAAAACAAGCTTAAAAAGAACTGTTTTGTGTTGTGGGTATTGGAGGCATGTGAAACAGAAATATTGAATATTATTTAGTAAGAAAATAATCAGAACTTTAGTAACATAATCTATGTAGAATTGAATTTTAATCTGATGAGTGGTACTTGAGCAACAATTGACCAATTTATGCAAATTAGATATTTAATGAGCACAAACTAATTTAAAGCCAAAAATTATTCCAGAGAATTACGTACAGGTTTCATTGAAATCAGTTTTTGAGGTACTTAATATGCATAGGGTTTTAATCAAAAACTAACCAGGACTGTGAATTACCCCAGGGCATAGATGTTCCAAATTTCACTGAAATCTGTGATTGGTTCTTGAGATATCAGTGGAACAGATGTACACACATGCAGACAATGTCTCTCGCTCAAAGTATACTTCACACCCATTCAAAATTTTCAAAATATTGCTACAAAATTTGGCAAGAAAAACAAGGTGTTTATAGAGTTAATTGAAAGAAACATTTCTGGATTCTATCTTGAAAGTTGCTTTACTTAATTCATGCAATGAATTCTAATGTTTTAACACGTACCTTCCTTCTTCTGGTTTTAATCATAAATTCTCTGGCTAAATGAGTTGCTGGCTGTGGTTCTAGAGTCCTAATAACAATACTTTTATCTAAAGGATCTCCTGGGACGATCTGAGGAAGGAAGTAGTGCCAAGTTAAGATTAATAGTTTTTTGTTCAATGCCGTAAATATTGTCATGTGTTGCATAGTCAGTTTTGTCATGTATGAGTTGTGAAAACAATGCTTTTGGGAAACAGTGAAAACAATACTTCATGTTTGACAAAGGTTTATATTGCAGAATATACAGCACTGTTTGTTTATTTAAAATTTGACTGTACACTGCACAATGACTGTGTTTGAAATCAAACAAAGCCTCTTTCAGCAGATTATCATACCAGACATGAAAACACTATAATTCAGTCAGTCAAAAAAAAAAGCAAAATGAAAATCATCAATTTATTATTTCTTAGAAATGATTCTACAACATTTGTTTGTAAATAATTCTGAAATTATCTCTAAAAACAAAGTAAAATAAAATAAACAAGTCATTGTTAATGACATAGTCCCCTAATTGGAATTGGGGAGAAATGTCATTCATGATAACAATGAAGTAATATGCATCAAAAACATAGTTAATAATTTAGAGTGAATAATTAACTGGGGTAGTATCAACAGAAACTAGATGTATTAAATGACTCTTCCAAAATTATAACACATGGTCAGAAATTAAACATGATATGCTATTCGTGCATTTTTGTATCCAAACTGAACTTCATTTGTCCAGGCTCATGTATAAGGATATGAAACACAGAACGAATCATCATGGACATGTATTTCAACATGTATAATTTGAATTTGAAAAGAGACAAATCCTGTCAAAGATACCCAATTTTTCAAAAAAGCAGGGTGGTAGCCAATCGTCTATCTTTGATCTGATTATGAAACAAACTGGACATGGACATGTATTCCAATATGTATGATGTTTGTTATGATTGAAAATGGTCCCTAAGCCTTGGAGATATTGTATGATCAAAAAGCAAGATGGCCGCGAGTCAGCCACCTTTGATCTGATCGTGAAATGAATCGTCATAGGAATGTATGTACCAAATTTGAACAAAAACTGACAAAGCATGCATAGGATACCACATTTTCAAAAAACAAAATGGTTGCCAGTCAGCCATCTTGGATTGAATCAGTAAACCACTGCATGTGCATATGTCCCAGATAAAGTACTAGACACATGCAAAGAATGAACAGATTCGGTCTACAGGGTTCTGAAAAATGACTCTGGGTGGATGGACGGAGTCCGAATTATAAACCTATCAGATATGATAAGTATGTATAAGATAAGGGTACACAACTAGTGTGATATGTGATGAACATCTCATTTGAAGTCATGTGAACTGTGAAATAATTACAAAATCACATTTCTAGAAAATAAAAATGTGAAAAAATAATAGTTTATTTAATGACCTTGTAGAATAGCATAAATGTTTTGAACCTCATTTATTTCTTTTCCATGTTTACCAGCATAAATGACATCATTCTGTAAGGCTGATAGTCAGTCAGAATTTATGGATCAATCAAATACTTGTGAATTCATGAAAACAGGGTCTTCAAACATATGACTGATAATATCAACATCAGTCATATAAAAATGTGTTTTTATAAGGTGATGTAAAATACAATGAGAGAATGTCACTAAATACACACGTTTGACAAGAAATGTGCCCAGACATGACAAATATTTCAAGTAAAGTTCAACTATCATAAATGTATGAACACTTACCTGCCAATGGTGGAAGACAGATAAGCAAAAAGCTTGTCCCTGTGTGTGTGTACGTAGATCAGTTTCAAATCCAAATGAATCAATTGTCGGTAGAAACGCCTTAATAGTGTACAAAGGTGAACCTGGAATTGGTGCATCTTGGGTCACATGACCTCTGCAAATAAGCGAGTTGAATTGAAAGCTGTTATAATTACTGATCCAGTGGTTTAGGAAACACAATAATATAAGGTTATTATGGGAATACTGTGACGTATGAAAGCGATTGCATCGATCGGCATCTAGTAAAGATTGATACATTGTCAAACTGCCTGAATGCACATGTTGTGATATTCTTGTGATAACCCTGAAGAGCGGCAGTCGTCGCGCGGCACATGTGCAACATTTGTGTTTATAAACATTGATTTTCCCACAATCCAACGCGCTCACAAATCACAAGTATGTGGTTTGACCTCGGCGCAACTAATTACCGCCGATGATTCTTTCGATACCTTCCAATCACCTAAAAGTACTTAATTAAAACTTTGTAACATCTCAGTTTGTACTTGTTGATCTGCACAACAGTCAAAGTCGCCATCTTTGTTTATACAAGACCCATATATTTAGCGCATGTGTGGCGCGACTACTACCGCCCTTTAATAATATTATACATCTTTTCCTACTTGTAGTAATATTTAGATAAACAGACAGCATAAAATATTTTGCACCAGCATTTCTGTTCCTGTCACATGATATACAATGTAGTGCCAATGTGTGATGTAGAAAGTGTCTGAATATGATTTACATTTTCGAAATATGGAAGGCATTCAAACACGCTCATTCAGTGTTTTATGAATGAATGAATTCTATTTGCTTTTGGTGTCGGATGAATAATAACAAGTTTTAATTTTACTAGCCGCACACCAGGTCTAGTCTGTCTTAGAGTTTCATTATAAGTATCATATTTGCTCTATCAACAATACAATAGAAATGCATGTGAATCAACAGTTTATTATATACTAGATATTGAAATATAACTTGTATTGACCAAAGACAAGACTTGCTTTGATGTCATACAACTAAAATTACTGCAACAGAATGTTGCATGCTAATGTCAGGTCTATATATTAGATAATACTACACAATTACAACATTCTGAATATACTGTTACCTTCTTCTTGCCAGTACTGTATATACTGCAGACACGCAATCTGCAGGGGCCTGCACTTCCACAAAATAGTAAGGCTCCATTAAACGTGGAGTTGCCTGCAAAATACACAAATACTGAGGGTAAGCACTTCCTGTATCCTAACATGTAGTGAGTAAAATACAGGAGTAACTCAGAATACAAACACTATGGATAAACTTTGAAGCATCCAGACTCCATCACAGTTATCGTGGCTTCATATGATGAGAATGTGTAATCAGGATTTTCAACAACAGATGATTTATATGCAAATATGATAATTAGCATGCTTAGGTACAGAAATAACCTAACTAGATGAACAATTACGCTAATGTGTTTGCATGAAATTTGCTCAGACATGATAGAGAAAGATATGGATACACACCAGAACAAAATCTAGGAAAGCATGATTAAGAAATTATGATAGAAGAACTGGAATGTGATCTGTGACCTCTAGTATAACTCATGATCCAGACGTGACATACAATGTATGACGTGTGACCTCTAGTATGACCCACAGCCCAGATGTGACATATACCCATGATACTCACCATAAGAAATGCAGAGTATGCAACACGTCTAGCGGTAGGAATAATTTGACCACCACCACGGTGTAGAGGTTCCCCTGCAATTACTGCATCTAAAATCTTGAACTTGACATTTCGAATTGCTGTAGGATTAATAATAATCATTTATATTTCATATTATGTCTATTTTTCCTCCAAGAGAGTGGCTATGTTTGAAAAATAGATTTTGTAAAAAAAATAGTGTTAAAATCCTATTATAAACCGCGGTTTATATTACAGTGTATCAAATAAAAAATTGGGATCAACAGCTCAAGTTCGGGGTGCGGTTTCTATTACGTACATATTGCAATCACTAAATGCACAAAACAAACAATACACCGTACCATCTTTTGAATATAAGCGTAACTCCAATTTAGATGTCAGGGAAGAGTGATAAGCGTCACGTCACAAAAAAAAACTGTTCACATGAAAAAAATACTCAGTATATTTAATGTAGTATGCATTTTTTTTTTTTATTTTCTTCGTAACGGAAAGTATATTCTGACAGGAGTTTCAAATAAAACATTAATGCATTGCTTAGTAGAAAATGATCATGGTACGACACTAAAAAAGTACAGTACCGTGGGTACGGTAACGCAATCCTTTGGCTCACAAGTGAATAACTTACTTGTTTTCGAAGTGTTGAAAATGTTGATTATTACTCAGTAGTGATTATAATAATGCACGAAAAATAAATTCGTTGAATTGTTATCAAATGCAAGTAAAATTCAACTTAGTTTCACCGTAATTATTTCAGTCACATGTAAACGATCGATAGGATACGACATCCGCCATGTAGTTTTGAATGCACACGAGACGTTACTTGACCGGGTAGGTCAAGTCGCTAATTAACCAATCAAAATGCTGGATGGTGCCCACGTATTCAAATTACCTTAGTTCATTTAAATATGTTAATGACAGGTCACCGATTTCATGGTGAACGAAACCCGGAAGGGATTTACCGATAATGTAGTGCGATCTTTTGGCTTTGATTTCCATGGGAAAACGACATGACTTTTTCTTTAAATCAAGAAATTAGTTGTTTTCGAAAGATAAACTGAGCATTCAAAAAGAATTGAACAGTTTTTCGGTGATAACAGCTCATTGTCGAAAACTTGTGACACACGGACATATTCATAAGGAGTATTGACAAAAGTTGTCGCAAGAACAAAAGCAGTTTCACTGTGTGTTTGACATCCTAACACTACTGAACAGTAAAGAGATGTGAATATTTTTTAGGCACATTGTCGAAACGAATGAATAGGATTAGGAACAATGTACCAGCTGGTTGAAACAAAATCAGTCACGATCTTGTTGAATTTGGGGAGCGGTTAGTAATAGGTACTTTTCATGTTTTCAATTTTAACACTGAAGGTTACTATTAGGTATGTGGTTTATAATAGGACTTTAACGGTAACATTTATTATACTGTAGCATTGTAATGTATATGAAACCAATCAACATTACACTCTTATACCATTCATACAGTTTACTGGGGACTACCTAATATGTGCAATAACTGACAGTTTGAATTTGAGCACATTGTAAGAATAAAAATGGGGATTACACAGGATTTCTACTTTGGTTTTGAAGTACTTTGAGAAAGAAGCAAAATTTGGTGAATCCACATATGTAGGAACACCATAAAAAATGCACAGCTTGCATCCATAATTCTTGGGGAGAGAAATGAAAATGCATTTAATGTGATTTGCATCACAAGCGCATTCAATGATGGTATTCAATTCCGATTACAAACTACACTGTTGTTGCGTCCAATGGAAGATTTTAAATGTGACTTAACTGTAATGCACACTCCCCAAATAAACATCCATGATACACTTTTGTATAGGTTTATATGGACAGCAACAATTCTACTGGTATCACTGCCCAATCTATTACAGTACTTACGTTCATCACAGAGTGGTCCTTCTCGTGTACCCCACTGGAATCCTTGTATAATACTGTCTTTGACAGAATTTAACAAACCTTTGTCAACCTTGTGTGAAGAAAAATGCACTCATTATAGGCAGTATGTATAATTTACATATAATGTATATACATATAGATAGAAGGATTTAAATAATATAACAGTTGTCAAGATTATACTATGTGCTACAATCGTGTCAAGTGTTCGGATGACATGATATACCAAGTAAACAACACTTAGAATGCTGAAAGATTAAAATATGAAAGAAATAAAAAAGTTGTTAGCAATTTGCATAGTATCTAAAAAGTGGCCAAGCATATCACTCTTTGTACTCTAATTTAGTACCACAGATATAATTTCTGAATATTATATTCAATTTATATTATCAAGTTTTAAAATTCTAACTTTCTCACCTCTGAAGGGAGTGTGTCATCCACCAGAATATTAGGACCTGTAGTGTCTGGACCAAATGCCCAAATAGAACGTGCAGCTAACAAATCCCAATCATATTTAGTCTGGAAGAATTCGCCAAGACGTTTCCTGTTGAGATAAAGAACAAGTTATTAATGAAAGTCATGGTTATTTAAATGGTAAACAAAACTGAAATGAGTCGG